TTAAACATAAACACAGATTGAGAAGCTTAAAAATCGAAAGGAGGAACCAAGCTAAAAGGGAAAAAAAAGTATGGGACTACATTCAGGCGGCAGATCTGGAGCAGAAGAACTTAAAGGGATAGTTCACCCAAAAATGAAAATTCTGTCATTAATTACTCCCCCTCATGTCGTTTTAAACCTGTAAGACCGTTGTTCATCTTCGGAACACAAATTAAGATATTTTTTATGAATTCTGAGAGCTCTCTGACCCTCCCACAGACAGCAAGGATCCTAACATGATCAAGGCTCAGAAACGTAGCAAGGACATTGTTAAAATAATCCATGTGACATCAGTGGTTCAACCATAATTTTACGAAGCTACGAGAATACTTTTTGTGCGCAAAGAAAACAAAAATAATGACTTTATTAAACAATTCGTCGTCTCCATCTCACCCTATAGTGCCATTTTGGAGAGTATCACATACGTATGCAACGTATGTATGCGGATACGTTGTTTACAAAGGTCTTGCGGGTTTGGAACGACATGAGGGTGAGTAATTAATAACAGAATTTTTATTTTTGGGAGAACTACCCCTTTAATATATATATATAACACCAGACATAAAGAGGCATGGATTATCTGGAGAGCTTTGAAGTTGATGTTGAAATTATGAGACCTACACTGAGGGATGGTCTGTATGCAATTGTATAAGGCATCTTGGGAGTCCTCCTTAAAAGAAGGGAAAGAGGTGGAGGACACCTGGGACACCTCATGCAATGGGCTTCCTCTTGTTTTTTCTAGCAAGTGATGGTTAACACCTGTGTATGTTCATAATACAATGAGTATGATTGGTTGCAGGAAGAAATCTTTATATATGTGGCTCTTTAGAAGTTGCACACTCTTATTCTATTGTTACATATTGCCTGTCTGTTTCTAAGATACAGCATTTTTTAGTCCAAGAACATTCAGCTCCAGTCAAGGAAAAACTCCCTGAATCTTTTTTCACCCGCTTGACTAACCCACCTAATTATAATACTGGGCTAATAACCAAACACTTCAATGAATAAATAAACTGTGGGTTAGTTTTGGGCTGAAAACAAAGACATTAAACCAGGACCTCTTTCCAGTACTACTTTTACAATATTCAAACGACATTTCCTGCAGTTCCTCAGAAAACTATGCAGAATCAAAACTGTAATTCCCCTAAATATTCCTAAGAAAAATAAAAACGAAAACATGCTGTTTGCTTAAGCATTGAGCCCCTGTGTTGCATAAGGGTAAGTGCTCAATAGTCTATGTGCAAACAGGAAGAAGAGGACATATAGTTGATCACTGGCCACACAGCAAACAGTAAAGTATGGCAGTGACCGCATCATATTGTAGCTTGCTTTCGTCATATGCGAGTGGACGTGTTGTTAAACAGAAGAATGACTTTGTAGAAAGATCACCGTTAGGACTATGATCCCAAACAAAAGATTAAAGGGGTCATATGATGCGATTTAAATTTTTCCTTTCTCTTTGGAGTGTTACAAGCTCTTGGTGCATAAAGAAGATCTGTAAAGTTGCAAAGACTAAAGTCTCAAATCCAAAGAGATATTCTTTATAAAAGTTAAGAGTCAACCACGCCTACCTAAAACGGCTCGTTCTAACACGCCCCCACATGTCTACGTCATGATGTGGGAAGATTTGCATAATGCCACCCAAATGTTCACGCAAAGAAAGAAGGCGTAACTGTTATTCTCGCTGTAGTATTGTTGTTGCCGCCGCCGTGAAGGCGCTTTGTGTTTCGTTGTGAAAGCGAAACTACTTTCTTTGGCCTTCCAAAAGAGGACAATATCCACTTCGTCATGCCTAGAGCTGATCCGTGCTGGTCGCTGAGGAAATACATCAACTTCGCACTGTGGATCGCCGGATCGGCTTTCACTGTGGACGATGCAGAGTTCAGCCCGGGGTCGTCACTCAAGCCCACCGGCCGTTCCTCACTCAAGCCCGCTATGTGTGACGCTGTGTGTTTCGTTGTGAAAGCGAAACTACTTTGTTTGGCCTTCCAAAAGAGGACGTTGTATTTACAACACTGTTCCAGAACAGTTCAACCCAAATATTCAGATGTGTGCAGCGCATTTTATGGAGGACTGTTTCCTGATCCTGGGAGAGTAGACTACAATGCCGGCTGTTCTGACTCACAGTCTGTAAGTACGTTTTCATATTTAAAGGATTTGCCACTGATGATTCAAACACGAGTTTTGGGCAGTGTAGAGTAGGGCTTATTGTTTGTCATTTCTCTGATCACAAATGCAAACATGGTTTTATGTTTTATGCGGCGCGATGCAACACAACGCGTAAAAAGACAGTATAAGTCATTATAATCAGTAATTATGTCCCCACTGGACGCAACGAATGCCTCGTTTGTAATGGGTTTTAATGTTTTTGTCTCGTCGCGCCGGGACATGGCATCACAGTATGGTAAGGGGCATAACATTTCCGTCACACGCTTGAGGCATTCGGCCAATCACAACACGATTGTGATTATCACAATGTGATAGCTGGCCAATCAGCACACACCTCGCTTTTCAGACCGATGAGCTTTGTAAAAATCGACGCGTTTCAGAAAGGCGGGGCATAGAAGAGCAACAATAATGTACAGTATGTGGAAAATAATGTCTTTTTTGAACCTTAAACTGCATAAACACATTGCATTACACCGAATACACAAAATAATGTTCTTTTTAGCAACGTCATATAACCCCTTTAACAGTAAATTCATATAGATTGTAATCAGGCAGGTAGGTAGGCAAATTAAATTGAACCAACATTTCGTGGTCCTACACCTTCCACAGAATATATAAATACAGATAAAAAATGTAGACCACTTAACTTAATGCTTGCTATCGGGATGTGAAGAGACTTTCAACCAGCATAACAGAAATTTTTTCTGAAGACAATAACCTATTGCACATTTAAGGGTGGAATCAATAACTTTAAAGGTGATGTTTCAGGAAAAGGTTTCTTTTTTTCCAAATAGCCATAATACTTTTGTATAAACTTCTCTTTGTTCTGGAAAGAGCAGATAACAGGTGAAAACGGTGAGTGATAAACTGATCAAAACAGTTCAACAGTTGCCTGTTCGAAACAGTTTTTCATTAGTATGTCGGGAATTTTGAATTTAAAGGGGTCATATGATGCTTTTTTAAAGATCATTATTTTGTGTATTTGGTGTAACAGAATATGTTGACATGATTTAATGTTCAAAAAACACATTATTTTTCAAATACTGTACATTATTGTAGGTCCTCTATGCCCCGCCTCTCTCAGACGCTTCGTTTTCTACAAAGTCCCTCCTTCCGACAAGCGCAGTCTGCTCTGATTGGCCAGCTGACCCAGTGCATTGTGATTGGCCGAACACCACAAGCACTCGTCGGAAATGTAACGCCCCTTACCATAATCGCGAGCTTCATCTTTCAAAATAAATGTAAAGACAGAGCCCGAAAGGGGAACAGAGTCGCGTGACAGACACAGTGATGAAGCTGGTATGTGTTTGCAGTACACAAGCCACGGTTAAGACAGCTGACTCCACTGTGATGTGTCTCTCTCTCTCTCTCTCTCTCTCGCGCGCTCTCTCTCTCTCTCGTGCTCTCTCGCTCGCACACACACACACGCACACAGGGGTGTGGCAGAGTCTTAACTTTGATAAAGAATATCTCTTTGGTTTTGAGACTTTAGTCTTTGCAACTTCAGGGATCTTATCTATGCACAATCAGCTTGTAACACTCCAAAGAGAAAGGAAAACTTGAAATCGCATCATATGACCCCTTTAATTTATTGTTATTATATTTCCTGTTTTATGTTTTAATTTTAAAGCAAAAGTTTTAGTATTTTTTGTGTTTGTGTCATTTTTATAAATTTCTTATATTTTATTTTTATTAAAATATAAAAAAATAAAAACTTAAGGAAAATTGCAAGCGTCGTCTTGCATAAATAAAATAAGTTTAAGGTTTTTAATATTTATTTTAATTTGATGTTTAATTTATTTTAAGTAAAAAGTTTTTATGCGTACATTTAGTGCATGTGTACAGACTAACTGCGCTATCCAGAAGTTATGTTGATAAAATAAGTTGTGAGTATTTCATAACCCCCTCACACACATGCTTGTCAGCGCGGGCGTCTATTGTTGTTGTGGTCTCAATTGGATTGTTGTTGTTGTTCCATCTCTTCCATTTGTTTTTTAACAGTAAAAAAACTGCTTGAGCCAGTCTTGCCAACTTGTGGAACACCTTATTAGTGCACACAAAAAAAATACTGTGAAGCTGCTTTGTAACAATCTCTTTAAAGCACTATAAAAACATGATGTATAAAGCGCTATAAAAATTAAGGTGACATGACTTGATACGAATGCACACGTGTGACCTGAGTGTGCAGAGTACACAAGGTTAGAAAAATCTGGGCTGCCACACAGTACGTGCGCAATATGCTGATGCCAACATGTACAGCACACACACTGTTCTTTCACCCTAGTGTATGCATAAAAAACAAAGTATACTTTGCACTTTATTTGTACACAGGAAACCGTTCACTGTGTATTACCAAGAACATTTTAGCAGAGGGGTGGTATTTTATGCAACTTACTGTTGGCTTGGAACTGAAAATGAAAACTTGATATACTGGTCTTGTTTACCTGTTGTCTCCCCTCTCTCACTCCAGATTCAATATTAAACTGATTTAGTGAGGGAGAGTGAGCGAAAGAGATGGTGGGTTGATGTAAACTCAGCTTTTAGACATACAGCTTCTGGCGCCAATGTAACATTATTTTTCCTTTGCAGGTCATGTGTTGAACAGGAACTCATTGTCAAAATGCCAGCAAATCAGCACAGCACAGCAAATTTGCCAGTATAAAGAGCTGTAACAATGTTGTAAAAGTTATGGCTAATACTGTGGCTAGTTTATGTTTACTGTGCTGCATTTTATAACAAAAAATATTATCATTATTTAATAGATTCGCTACAAAAATATAAAGTTACATTACCTATTCCACTATTACGGTTATTCTCCATCTCTTCCATTTTTAGCTCCATCTCTAGCTCTGGGTCTTCTGCCATTTGATCCTCTGAACTTGGACCTGGTTCTTGAGGAGGTTCTTTTGGAGTCTGAGGAGCTGCTTCTTCCTTGTGTTCAGGTTTAGGTTCAGGTTTAAGTTGAGGTTCTGGTTCTGGTTCAGGTTCTGGTGTATATGTGGTGTATGCAGCTATCACATGAACCTGATGTGTTACAGGTTCGTCAGCTAGACTACTGCTGCTGGATCCTGCAGCTACATCACTGCTGGAGCTACTACAGATGGACCTGGCCGGCTCTGAATCCTCAATACTATGGCTCAGATCAGAATCATCGGCTGGAGTTGAGGCTCTGGGAGCTGGCAGCAGCGTCCTTTCAACTGGCACCGGGACGCAGGGGGCCCGCACAGATGCAGTAGGCACAGAAGTGGAAATAACTGGTTCGGGTGATGGTGTGGGTGGAGGTGCTGGAGCCTTCCGCTTCTTAAGATGGTTGTGTGAGGATGGAGAGCTGAGGTTTATCTATAGAGAAAAGACAGAGGACAAATGTAAATGTTTGAATATTCAGGACTTCTGGGTGGTTCAGGGCTGTTGCTATGCAGTTACTAAGTACTGAGTGTTTTTTTACTGGTATGTGGTTACTATAATGTGCATGATTGCAAGGGCATTGCTTACTTGAGTAAAAGCACTCTATGGGCCAGATTTACTAACAGGTTGCGCCAGCGCAAACCGTCTTTTGGTGTTAAAAATAGTACTGTCAGGATTTACTAAAGACGCGCAGTGAAGAATCAGCACTGAAAAGGCGTTGACAGTTATTTTTGCGCCAGACTTTATTGAATATGCATTTGTAGGAGTTTCCCTTTCAGATGCAAAATTTATGGGAGGAGAGTATTAAAATTAATAACACAATGCGATTTACTAACATTTGTGCTTGTCAAATTATTGGTATTTGTGCCATTATTTAACGCCCCAAAAAAGCATGTCTTAAACTATTGCTCAGATCAGAATCATCGGCTGGAGTTGAGGCTCTGGGAGCTGGCAGCAGCGTCCTTTCAACTGGCACCGGGACGCAGGGGGCCCGCACAGATGCAGTAGGCACAGAAGTGGAAATAACTGGTTCGGGTGATGGTGTGGGTGGAGGTGCTGGAGCCTTCCGCTTCTTAAGATGGTTGTGTGAGGATGGAGAGCTGAGGTTTATCTATAGAGAAAAGACAGAGGACAAATGTAAATGTTTGAATATTCAGGACTTCTGGGTGGTTCAGGGCTGTTGCTATGCAGTTACTAAGTACTGAGTGTTTTTTTACTGGTATGTGGTTACTATAATGTGCATGATTGCAAGGGCATTGCTTACTTGAGTAAAAGCACTCTATGGGCCAGATTTACTAACAGGTTGCGCCAGCGCAAACCGTCTTTTGGTGTTAAAAATAGTACTGTCAGGATTTACTAAAGACGCGCAGTGAAGAATCAGCACTGAAAAGGCGTTGACAGTTATTTTTGCGCCAGACTTTATTGAATATGCATTTGTAGGAGTTTCCCTTTCAGATGCAAAATTTATGGGAGGAGAGTATTAAAATTAATAACACAATGCGATTTACTAACATTTGTGCTTGTCAAATTATTGGTATTTGTGCCATTATTTAACGCCCCAAAAAAGCATGTCTTAAACTATTTTGCACTTGAAATGGCTGCAATTGTTGTTGCTAGGAGGAGGCACCACCGAGAACAGAGAACGCGTGGTAGAAGTGAGAGCATTTTTTCCACACATATTAATTTATTTGGAATGCCAGAAGAACACATTATCCGAATCTGAACATATCCTTACACTAATTTGCACTGCACTTGGTATATTGCCTTGGTCATTATGGAAATGAGATGTTGCGTCTGTGTTCTTTAATTTGGAATTGTGCTCTCACACTAATTTGCCCTGTTTAGTAATGTTTACACCTGGCATTAACATGTTTTTAATGTAAGCATATCAAACTTGGCCATATTACAAGCCAGGTGTAAACACACACCAGGGCACACTGTGATCAGATCACTGAAAAATAAATTTTTGGTGGTCTGGGAATGGATTATACATTGCTGTTCAAAAGTTTGGGGGCCAATAAATTATTGAATTATTTTAGTGGATTATACTTGGAAACTGGTTTCTCCCCAAAGAGAGCACTTTAAAACATATCTCCCTTTTCTTCATAACTATTTCCCATTAGGTGTAAAGTGTAAATGAGAAAAGTATTAACACACCACTTCTTAACAAAATCTCAAACCATAAGTATGGACAATAGCAACAGTGATGTTTCCTTGAACAAGCACTACTTTCCACTTCCATTAACAAGCAATATTATACAATGCTGTAAAATTAAGTTCCTTTGGATGCAATATTAGATCAGAGAACTACATATAGTAGAATAAAAGTTGAACAGTGATAACTCCCCAGTGTGACAACAGCACAAGGGCATCTCAGCTTACTGATTTACTGAAAATTTGCATCATTAAGGGTGAATCACAGCCCTGCAGCACACAGATGTAATAACATTTCTGTGAAATTCAGAAATATGCCAGAGGGGACAAACTAATGTAATAAACCCTTGTGGTATGTACGTTTTCAAAGTCAAAACAGTACAGATCAAAGTAAAAAGGAGCCACTGTCCCTTTAAAGGGGGGTCATTTTCTGCCTTTTCTGTATCAGCTTGCATTGTATTGATTGGTTAATACAGCTTTGTACAGTGGTAAAGGTTGGCAAGGACATACAAAAGCAAATTCAGACAAGAATTTAAGAATCAAATAGCTGCAAACAGTACAGTTTATCTGTTTAAAGAAAAATGTGCTGTACTGTACATGAATCAGCTTGCTTTGGCATGTTGAGATACTAGCAGCCAGTCTGACGCTCAATTTCATGTATGAACCATGAAATCAAAAACAAGCCATGCTGTAAATAAACAAGCCTAGGAGGAATGTTCCTGGGTACATGCATGCCTAAATGTGGGTCAGAGGTGAGAAAAACATTGAACAAAATTACATATTCCCACTCTGTATGTTGAGGACAAAGGAAATGGGTCAACATCGACTGTTATGGCATTTGTTTAACATATGCCTCCCTTTTGTAATTATTCATGTTCCGGTACTTGAAATCAATTGTTGCAGTTTAATTTATGCTGCTTCTGTGAACACAACAATGGTGACCATGCGCTTCTGAATCGATTGATGGGTTGATGCCACCTGCATAGAGTCCTGTGCTGAGTTAAGTCAAATTTAATATTAAATATATTACACATTTGAATTTTGATAATACTATCCATAATAATCGATCATATTTTAGTAAATCTTAAACATTATTTGTTAATATTTGTAAATGTTAAGATGTTTTTAAGAATATTGATAACCAAACAGTTGGTGTTTCCCACTGATTGCTATATATGGAAAAAAATATTTTATGATTTCTGATTAGCGGTTACATTTATAAGCGCAACAGAAACGTGTGCGATTGTTTATAACGCTCAATGATACAAAATTCACATAAAAAGTAATCTAATGGAACTTGAAGCAGATCTAAATGTAATGCTGCAGTTAGTGCCGCAGTTAATGCTCAAACTTTGTTTAAAGTGCCCCTATTATGGATTTTTGAAAATTACCTTTCATGTAGTGTGTAACACAGCTCTAAGTGAATGAAAACATCCTGCAAAGTTTTAAATCTAAAAGTGCACCGTGTATAAAGTTATTGTCTTTCAAAAGAAAGAGTCGACTTCGGAGTCATGAAAACGAGTCATTTTTAAAACGAATCTTAAGCTGTTTCAAGTTGACATCAACATGAGTCATTAGCATATTATATGCCTTATATTATTATATAACATTAGCCGTTATGAGCCCTCGATCCACACCTCTGCCGAGCCCGCACTGGTGCGAGCTCCGCAGTAGACTTTTACCCTTTTACATATCTCCCTTTTCTTCATAACTATTTCCCATTAGGTGTAAAGTGTAAATGAGAAAAGTATTAACACACCACTTCTTAACAAAATCTCAAACCATAAGTATGGACAATAGCAACAGTGATGTTTCCTTGAACAAGCACTACTTTCCACTTCCATTAACAAGCAATATTATACAATGCTGTAAAATTAAGTTCCTTTGGATGCAATATTAGATCAGAGAACTACATATAGTAGAATAAAAGTTGAACAGTGATAACTCCCCAGTGTGACAACAGCACAAGGGCATCTCAGCTTACTGATTTACTGAAAATTTGCATCATTAAGGGTGAATCACAGCCCTGCAGCACACAGATGTAATAACATTTCTGTGAAATTCAGAAATATGCCAGAGGGGACAAACTAATGTAATAAACCCTTGTGGTATGTACGTTTTCAAAGTCAAAACAGTACAGATCAAAGTAAAAAGGAGCCACTGTCCCTTTAAAGGGGGGTCATTTTCTGCCTTTTCTGTATCAGCTTGCATTGTATTGATTGGTTAATACAGCTTTGTACAGTGGTAAAGGTTGGCAAGGACATACAAAAGCAAATTCAGACAAGAATTTAAGAATCAAATAGCTGCAAACAGTACAGTTTATCTGTTTAAAGAAAAATGTGCTGTACTGTACATGAATCAGCTTGCTTTGGCATGTTGAGATACTAGCAGCCAGTCTGACGCTCAATTTCATGTATGAACCATGAAATCAAAAACAAGCCATGCTGTAAATAAACAAGCCTAGGAGGAATGTTCCTGGGTACATGCATGCCTAAATGTGGGTCAGAGGTGAGAAAAACATTGAACAAAATTACATATTCCCACTCTGTATGTTGAGGACAAAGGAAATGGGTCAACATCGACTGTTATGGCATTTGTTTAACATATGCCTCCCTTTTGTAATTATTCATGTTCCGGTACTTGAAATCAATTGTTGCAGTTTAATTTATGCTGCTTCTGTGAACACAACAATGGTGACCATGCGCTTCTGAATCGATTGATGGGTTGATGCCACCTGCATAGAGTCCTGTGCTGAGTTAAGTCAAATTTAATATTAAATATATTACACATTTGAATTTTGATAATACTATCCATAATAATCGATCATATTTTAGTAAATCTTAAACATTATTTGTTAATATTTGTAAATGTTAAGATGTTTTTAAGAATATTGATAACCAAACAGTTGGTGTTTCCCACTGATTGCTATATATGGAAAAAAATATTTTATGATTTCTGATTAGCGGTTACATTTATAAGCGCAACAGAAACGTGTGCGATTGTTTATAACGCTCAATGATACAAAATTCACATAAAAAGTAATCTAATGGAACTTGAAGCAGATCTAAATGTAATGCTGCAGTTAGTGCCGCAGTTAATGCTCAAACTTTGTTTAAAGTGCCCCTATTATGGATTTTTGAAAATTACCTTTCATGTAGTGTGTAACACAGCTCTAAGTGAATGAAAACATCCTGCAAAGTTTTAAATCTAAAAGTGCACCGTGTATAAAGTTATTGTCTTTCAAAAGAAAGAGTCGACTTCGGAGTCATGAAAACGAGTCATTTTTAAAACGAATCTTAAGCTGTTTCAAGTTGACATCAACATGAGTCATTAGCATATTATATGCCTTATATTATTATATAACATTAGCCGTTATGAGCCCTCGATCCACACCTCTGCCGAGCCCGCACTGGTGCGAGCTCCGCAGTAGACTTTTACCCTTTTAAAGCAGCATTACGTCACGAAAGTGCAGAATCAGAGGAAGACTGCAAGGGTTTTATGTGCCATTAGGGACAGGGCCGCTGTGCTCTGCACTGAGGGTAAATCTGTTAGGGTATGTCGAAAAACTCCCAACTCATTTTCTCCTCCAACTTCAAAATCATCCTACATCGCTGCAGAAGCACCGCACTAGTGTTTACCAAGTGAACATTCAAGGAGGGTTAAACACCCTTTACAAAAAAAAAAGGTAAAAGTGTTGGGAGTTTTTAGAGATACCCTGACTTGAACCGTTGTACACAGAGTACACATGCGCCTCGCAGAGCTAGACAAGATGAGCATTTGTGGTTAAAAAGTGTATATAATTTTTTTTAAGAAAATGAACAATCGTCATTTAAAATGACCAAATTTGAAGCTGCATTGAAACTAAATTTGTAACCTTTAATCCGTTGAGCACCACTGAAGTCCACTATATGGAATACTGGAATGTTTTTCTCAAAAACCTTAAAATTCTTTGCGACT